GTATATGTTTTTATTTTGAACTTTTAAAAGATCACTGCAGAATAAATGTAAAATAGAGGAAAGGGAGGAAGCCCGTGAGATATAAAAAGGCTACGCTTCCGACAACAGGCATTCAATGAATGTATGTATAGACTACAGAGGAAATGGAGGAGAGTTTATTTTGATATTAACCCTAGCTAGAGAGAGAAAAAAATCCCAAATCTATTGATCAAAAGCGCAAGTGGATAGAAATATTAATTGCAAATAGTTCAAAGACCAATAATTGACACCATAATGAGTACGAATTCACCGACAACAAAAATGAAATTAGTAAAGTTCTTATGCAGAAATTACTATATAAAGCTCTAATGAAGAAATTTCCATCTGCTTAATGAAAACAAATAAAAATATGTAGGAGGTACTCCAAAGACCAACAATTGACACCATAACTAGCAGAAGCTCAGAGACAATAAAAATAAAATCACTAAAGTTCTTATGTAGAAGTTACTAATTAAGGTTGTTGCGAAGAAATTAATTAGTAGCTGTGTAATGATCAATAAATAAAAAAAATGTAGCAAATAGTTCAAAGACCAATAATTGACACCATAATTAGCACTCGTACGTTCAGAAATAATAAAAATGAATTGCTGAAGTTCTTGGTGAGAAATTAGCAACTGTTAATGAGGAGTTAATGATTTGAGTGCGAGCACTAAAAAGGGTAGAGTTTAGAGTTTTCATTACTTTCTCCAATATAACGAGTTAAGGGGGCTGTGTTAGCCCCACCTTTTCTCCAATAGCCGAAAAAAACGAAAATATATAATTTTGATATGAGAAAACTTAATAATTATCTGCAAATGTGTAATATGCTAGTGTAAGGAGTTATCATGAAGCAGGAGAAGGGGGTGTTGATAACGCAATTAAACCTAAAAACAAAAATCACTTCAACCTATTGCTAGTCTCGGCCGAAAATGCTAAATGCAACAAGAACGGTGTGCGATCAAGAATTCAAGATTAGACAAGACAAGGGAAAAAGAAGAGGAAGGTGATGAATTGATATGAACCCACTAGCACTCCCAAAGTCAACCACCCAAAACCCTACAGTGCAAATCATCAACGAGATCCACCAACCTCAAATTCACAACGAAATTTTTTTATTAAAAAAAAAAACCCTAATTTAAGGGGGCGGGGGGGAATTTTTTTTTGTCAAGAAATTAGCTACCTGAGCAATCATTGCAAGCTGCTCAACCCCAAAAGCCCTAGCAGCGGCGAGGACATCAAGAGCGAGATCAACAGCAGCAGTGCAGTGCACGTGCCAGCACCCCCTCTCACTGCACCCGGCCCTCGGCTCGTGCTTCTGCGGCAGAAACCGACAACCTGACCGCTGTAGAGGAACTGAAGCATTCAGCATGAAGACTTCGTAGCCTATAGCGTTGCACGGGGTATGGCGACGCGGCGGCTGCCCTCCTCTCGGGGAGCCGGAGTAGTGGCTTTTGGGCCGAGGGCAGAGAGGGAGTTTGGGCCGAGAGAAAGAATTTGCTGGAAGACAGAGGCTGGCGGGCGGCGAGCGATGCAGCGCGTGGGCGTGGACGAATGCGCCCTCGACGCCTGAAAGGTTAGCGTCGGAGAAGGCTTGGCGCGTTGATGAGGAGGTTGAGGGCAGTCGCATGGATAGAGATTTTAGGAGGGGATTGCTGCTGGTGTTGTTGCTTGATTCTTCATCCATTTGATTGTGAGCTTTTGTACTTGGATTTTTTGTTGCTTAGTTAGACATTGAGGAGGAAGATACCATTTTAGAGAGAGAGAGAGAGAGAGAGAGAGAGAGAGAGAGATTGGGCGTAATGGGGAGAGGAATAGGGACTTAAATAAATGAGGACACAGGGGAAGGATGTAGAAATGAAATGATAATACTATGTACATGTAGAAATAACAAATTATTATTATTATTATTATTATTATTATTATTATTATTATTATTTTGGGCAATGACTTTTAAATGCATAGAGAGCGTGTGAGAACGATATGGGCTATGAGATGTTTTTTATTTTTATTCTATGAACCCAAAATCTAGAGATTTGGATCCTCTTCTCTGTCCAAAAGTAAGAAAGAGACATTGATCTTATTAGAACTATTGATTTGTCTAGTGAGTGATTATGATTCAATCTAAATCTTACATTTACCATGCTACTCGTGAATTGTAGTACTCGTTCGTAATTTATATTAAGAGACAAATAACAACAAACAATTAGTTAAATCAACATTTGTGACAAAAAGTAAAGGCCTCTCGCACTACTTTCCCAAATGTTATTGTTAAAAATTAGCTTTTTCTTTTAACAATTGAATGTTCATAATTTAATTATACTTAAAATTAGATCAGAAGGTTTAATTAAAGGAAGAAAACAAACTGTCAAAACGAATTAGCTGCTAGATTTAGATAGGAAATTCAAAATATCTATAATTTAGAGCTAGATAAAAAACATCCTTTGAGTATCGAGGTTTCAGCATTTTAGTCATCCAATCAACTGTAACTTGATGATTATATCTTTTTGAGATCAGAAACCTGATCATTAATCACATATGTCTCCTTTCATCTTTATTTATTTATTTATTTGTTTTTGGACAGACATGTCTGCTTTATTTTAGACATACATGTTTTACATATATAGTTGGATTGGACAACACATATTGGAGAATGTAATAATAGGAAAGTGGAATGTTAAAGAAACTAAAAAAATATTAGGGATTTGAATCCTCCCTATCGAGATTTGATACACAAACAGTAGTATGGATTATAGATAGCTGAAACCACTTGGTCGAACATAGTGGCGTCGTTTGGCAGCAGGTTAAGTAAGGGGTTAAAAAGACTTAACTTTTTCTTAATCTGTCAAATACGAAAAATCTATGTAATAGTTAAAGCGAGTTAACTCTCCATAATTTGCTAAACACAAAAAATACAGACGGATTAAGCTAACCTCTTTGGAGAAATTAAAATGAGGGGTTTACTAATACTCCTATTTAGAAGAATTAAGAGTTAATCCCTCTATTTATAAAGAAATAGTCAAGATCCTCGTTCTTCCCAAACACTAAAAATGATCACAAGGACTAAAATAAAACTTATTTAATATGTTAATAATTTAGTCATTCGGGTTATTGAATGGGCCAACTACGTTAATCATTCTCCTTATTCCTTTTTTCTTAACCATTTACCAAACGGGGCTGAATACAAATTAATCTGAACCACCCATACTACAAGGTGATCTACACATTTCACTTGGAGGGTTGATGTGAATTCTGCTCTCCAATATATATGGATGGCTCTACGTGACTTGCATTCACCATCTAATGAACGGTTATCATTTATCTTATAAAAAAAAGTATGATTTGTATTTTTTTTGTTATAATTTATCTATGTAATCTGCATTGCATTCAACAGGCAATGGGCAAGAGACATGCAATTGAGCTTAGTTTCATTTCTAAGAGGAGGAGCTAATGTAGTTGTGTTTTAGTCTCACTAACTGTATTTTTGTTATTAGCTTTTGTGAGAATATCGTTTTTTATTTTGTTACTCTTGTTTTGATTGTCTCTCCACATGTTTGAGAGGCCACAATTTTGTAATCACATTTGTTTCGGACTTCATTGATCACTGTTAGACAATAACTATTACTTACCCAAAAAGAAAAAAGATCTGTATTAATCACCGATATACGTACCGAGTTAATTATGTTCAAAGCAATTTGTTACTGTCCATACTTTATTTGATGATTGTAATTGTAAAAAGAATCTCTTTAATATGGAGATAGCAGTGGGGAGGATCAAACTCCAAAGGACCAGAGAGAGAAAGACAATTCGTACACGTACACATGCACACAGAGAGAGAGATAGAGAGAGATGAACCATGAGAGTTGTTTGGTCAAATTGAAAACATTATAAATTACTATGTTTATATTATGCTGTTGGTACCATTACCAGCATGTCATAGACATCACCATTCACGGCCTTTATGCTCTTTTACTGCTGGCGTTTTTCTTGTTTTTGGCTTAAAATTACGCAATATGAACGTGCACGTGCAATGATGTAATCCATGACATTCTAGAAACTACTATAAGATGAAAGATAACTGCAAACCTATTTAGTATAATGATGCATTCTATTATGGAAAATTTATCAAATTTATCTCAAATTTATCAAGATTATGCATCTCTTTTTGCAGGAAAAAAAAGATGATGTAGGACACTTAACATACAATTTTATAAAGGAGTGGGACAATCACAAGCTAAGTACGGATACACACATATATTATTAATTTCCAAAGAGAAGCGATCATATCTTTTAACCCAAAAGACTGATTCTGATATATTATTTATGTAAATCGCCTATCTCGATGAGACGAAGCCAACTAGATTATTAGATTTTCAAAATCTCATCGGTATATTATGGAGAGTCTTTTTAGGGTAGGATTTGGTACATTCTTTTTTTTTTTTTTTGTAATTCTAGTTTTATTAAGAGTCTATTTTATTATTTTATTTAAGAAGAGTCATGTAATCCTAGAATCATTAGATGACTTTTCATCAATAAATTCTTCTTTATTATTATTCTCTTTATGGATTCGAAGATTGTGTTATTTATAGATTCAAAAAGCACACATTGGTGGATTCTGAGGTTTTTAACTTTTACGTAGTGTTAATTTGTATCGGAGCCATGTTTCTCTGATCCAATTGCAAGCGACGAAGCCTCTATTTTCCGAACTCAGATTAAGACTCATTTAGAACGACTTGCATTGGTAATAGAGTGTCCGAACCCGAGGCGAGTTCAAGATCACACTGATGGTCGCCAAAGACATGCTAGGACTCCGCATGATGAATTCAACAACAACATCAATGAGTATGAAGCCCTGCACCGAAATCATCACTACACCACCTGATATCATCTATAGCGTCCGAAAAACGCTATAGTATTATTTCATAGCGTTTTAATCAGCGCTGTGTCTGAACCCGTTATAGTAGGTATATGGCTTTACATAGAGATTCCCGAAACGCTATCAAAAAGTTTCAAACTATAGCGTTTTCGTGTAGCTATAAAAGGTTATTCAATAGCGTTTCTGTATTGCTATGACGAATATCTTTCATAGCGGTTGAAAAATGCTATTAGTTAGTTTTTATTCATAGCATTTCAACGCTGCTATTGTCTTACATTTGATAGCGTTTGAGTTACTACAATGGCATTTCAGCGAATGCTGTCTTTCATCTTTTAATAGCATTTCAGCAATTGTTTCTACTTCTTATAGCATTTCAGTTGTGCCTATAAATCTTTGAGGTTGAACTAGAAATAGCTTCCAATTATGACAACAATAAAAGCAAATATTTCATTTAAAAGTTCAAACTGATACATTACCAAGTTGTAGCATACAAGAAGAGTCAGCACAAAAGTGCCAAAAACAAATACTAGTCTTTGGATAATCCAACATGGAGTACAAGAAATTAACCATATATAGTGCACAGAACAACAAAAACTAACTTTGCTTCATTACATATGACTTGGGAGAATCATCATGTACATAGCCACATCGGCGAACAAAAGCTTTTAGTGGTCCATCACCATACATTACCACAATATCGCTCCTTTTTGCAATCAAGGCCTGCAAAACCAAACTGCAGGTTAAGTTCAACTACAAAATATGGTCATATATATCAGATATTTCAATTAAAGTATTTAAAAATAAAGCTCTCATATTTACGAGCCTTGAAGAAAATCATGACCAAACCAATCCCTTACAAGGCAGTTTTTACAGCAAATAAGATTAAAGCTCTTGAGGGCTGTAAACAAATGACAAGAGGTTATAATAAAACCTGAAATATTGATAGTTTTATTTTACATACTTAAGTATATCTTCACATTTATACTCTAGTGCAAAAAACCTGGTTCTTCCCTGACTATGGTAATTTTATAGTTTCAAGATCACGTGTTGCATTTATCTTGAATACCTGTTATATTTTTAGGTTCACAGTTTCCACCCAGTATTTCTACAAGCAAATTCTTCTAACTACCTAATTCTTTGATTCAGGGAATACAAAGATTCAAAATAGGAGCATCCAGCTGACTAGTCATGGTCTGGCGGTGCCGTACAGCCAGCCTAAAGTCGCACATACTATTTCTTACGCATCACGATCACCATCGAGAAGTTTGATATGTGCTGCTGCACTCGTAAGTATCTTTTGGATATATTTTACAAGTAACATGAAATACTCCATGATTTAATTCATGACCAAACAGAAAACAACAACACCAATTATATGACAAGGGGTTATAATAAAAATGCTCAAAGCATAAATAGACTCTCTTCTCCCAACAACACCAATTATATGACAAGGGGTTATAATAAAAATGCTCAAAGCATAAATAGACTCTCTTCTCCTAGAGTCATGAATATATGGACACAAAACAGAAAACAACAGCACCAATTATGTATAACTTACCA